TATATATAAAATTGAATGAATACATTAAAACCCACACACTGGGTCACACGACCCAGTACAGTGACAAACTGTCTATTTATGTGTGTTTTTTTCTTAATCTCTACAGCTGGATCAGCTGCACTTCATGAAAAGGCAGTGATGCGCCGGAAAGTATCTGACCCTCCTCTACAGGGAATGATCGACAAAGATGGAGGGCTTATCATTCCGAAGGAGGGAAATTACTTTGTTTACTCCAAAGTTCCCTTCAGTGACAGTGGTGTGTTTCAGCACTCTGTTACACTTTCCAGCAAAAAGTCTTTAAAAAACGTACCACTCTTGCGATCGAGAAAACACCCCACAGCGAGCAAAGAAAGCGGATCAGACAGTTTTCTGAGTGGAATTTTTCATCTTAATGAACATGACAGAATTTTTGTGACTGTAAACAATATCTCAAAGATTGTACAAAATAACACTTATTTTGGTGCAGTTATGCTCTAAATCCCACAGATGGACAAAATTATGTTATTTTTACAGCTTTTGTTTTCTGTGCAGCTTAATATCAGCAGGACGGGATTTTTGTGTTGTTTTAAAGTTTACTCAAATGTGGATGAATTGTTTAGTCAAATCAAATAATTTCTGCTTGTGCTTGTTACACTTTTCTCCTGATGTTTAATTTGCTTTTCATGATGCCTGCAGTTCCTCTGTAAATGAATCTGCACAAGAATGAAATACGCTGGTACATATGTTTGGATTAGTTAAACTGTTTTTCTCTATTTTTAAATTTCATTTTAATGCTTCCCTATTGTATAGTTTTCATTTCTTCTTTTTATAATAATTGTATTGTTTTTGTACTTTGTTTACCACAGCATGAAAACATCTTTTGACTGATTGTTTATGTAAAAAGAGGTCGCTACAGTGAGTAGCTCCTCCTGTTGGAGACTCAAAGCTTCAGTTCTACGGTCAATAAGGGATTGAGACAAAATGATTTTTTTTTTCTTGTTGTCTGAAGTCAGCTGTTTAACCTTGTTGTAACAGACTATTTGTATTGTGTTATTGATCAGTTTAAAAAACACTGCAGCTTAATTTAGGTGTTTTGTAAAAATCAGCTTTTATTGGATATATCTGATAATGTACTTTGTTCTTTGTTAAGCAAAGTAACACAACCCAAGCACTGTGGGGTTTTTATGCTTTTATTGTGCAGCTGTCTCATGTTATGTTTTCCTTAATGTGGTCAATCAGCAATTTTTCACTGCTCTGACCTCAGTTTTCTTTTTTCTTTTCTTTTTTGAATAAAAAATACATGAAAGACATAAAATCCAAAATGTTCCTCATTGTGGCAAATCGTAAATTATTTATTCAAGCATAACAAGTCCCCTAACTCAAGCGATGGCCCAAAGGTGTGTTTGCACATAACAGACAACATAGTATAAATAAATTGTATCTTCAGGCACTTTTTTAAACAACAGTCTGCTGTATACACACATAATTGCTTCAAATTTGTTTAGTTAAAGCTTAAAATTCCGCATTTAAAAATTAAAACAGCACCACTAACATTACTGAAGCAGTGTGAGATCATACTGACTTTCAAGCTAATGAGAATAATTTTTTTTTAAAAGCTGTCTTTGCCTTATATGCTATATCTACACAGATATAGCATATAATGTAAATGTTTTAATAATATGTGCCAATTATTTTCCCAGCAAAATCTAATAAAATGTGTGGTGGCTCAAGACTTTTGCACAATACCATCCTAAAATATATTAGTATAATTAGTCCCATTGTGTTTTTTTAACCAGATTTCAGCAGTAAATATCAAAGACAGAAAATATCAAACTTCTGCAATCTTAGTCACGGCCTATATGCATATGTTCATATCTCCACCACCCGGTGTGCTTCTTGTATGCCTGACACAGTGATGTATTTCAGTGTGAAGGAACATGTTATATTTCTGTTTTCTCCTGAGAAGAATGAAGCAACGTTTTGCTGGTTTTGAAACCAAACCCGAAACCTGATGATAAAGGGGTCATGAGACTCTTTGAGTGAGGGGTGATTTCTTCTGTGTTCATGCTTTGGTTTCAGTGTATTGTTGTGTTCATACTTTTTGGAAGGAATCTCAGAAAAAAGGTATGTCTCTTTAAAAAGGATTTATTTTGCTTTTTGCAGTTGAAAGTTTACACAGCGCTGCGGACTTCTATGTGAACCAACAGCATGTTTGACAAAAAGGATGACCATCAAACGGGCTGTACAACATTATATAGTGAGACAAAAACATCGATTATAACAGCTAACTTCCTCCTGCATGGACGCAGTCTTGGTGTCTGCTCCGAAGCATCCTCATATCTCCATGACCTCGTCTGGTATCTGCTCCCTCCTCTGTAAGAGACAGAAAAGCGAAACACCTCTCTGCCTATAGCCTTGATAATCTAATGCTATTATCCATTGTTCTTCTAGTGATTCAAAGTTGGTTTAGAAAATCATATTCAGAACTCTCTGACCCAAAGACTTATTCTAATCATAATCTATGTGTGTAAGCGTGTTTGCAATTACCCCTCTGCACTCTAAGTCATTTCCTACAATATATCAGTCCGGACAGTAAAGTCGAACAAAGCTTATGACCTTCAGAAGACTGAGCACCAACTCATTATGAGCACATTTGCAGTAAATGTATGAAAATGATTATAACCACCTAATTTAGTAAAATAAATCAAACATTTTCAATCACAACAGTGTGGAAACAACTTCTCTGTGAAACTGAGCTTGAAGGCATGTAGGTGTGTGTTAATGTTCACGTCAAAGAATGAGAGCATCTCTCTGTTACAGTCCAGCTAACCTCCCACCCTCTGGACCTTCTTCACTGAAGCAAATTTACATGGAAGTGATGAAGAGGCTGCTGCGTTAGTTCCTTCAAACAAATATATTTCCCAGAATCCAGTCTGTGTTTGTCCCTTTCTTAGACAAGACCCCGTCACCAGGCCAAGGGTTCAGTCCTCATCATTTCTGACTTCAAGATCACAATCTCTGAGTCAAAGCCCTCAGAGCCCAGCACTAGTGAACAGCTGACAGTCTTCTTGACAGAAAACGATAAGCTTAAGTTGATCTGAAGAGGCCAAAAATAAAAGTCTTTACACACAACAGATTATTGAAGACAGTTTAGCAGTTTAATAAAACTGACATTTTTTTTCCAATTTCCCAGTTTGGCAAAATCACTTTTTAAAATAATTGTGGAGGCTTTAAACTCAGTGCTTGTTAGGCATAAACATGTAGGTGGTCGGTGGAACCACCTACATTATTATATTCAGCTGCATCTAATGGTTGAAGAGCGCCTCCTGCTGTTCTGTAGACGCTCCTCACGCTTGTATTCATGTCTGTTTTTTTCTTATTCCCAGATAAAGTTGTGTATGTGAGTTTGTTGGGTGTATTTTATATTATATTGTTAAAATCTCAGCAGCAAATAC